ACAACCTCTTTCCCTGACAAACCTTGAGTTATCTCATGAAAGAATTTGACTCAAGCAAACTTGTGCTCTTTTCCCCATTATGACAGACTGTGGATAAAATATTCCTGTTGCTTAAGATTTAGGCCTAGTGAAGTAAACTAATGATCATACATAAGGGGCAGCTCCTATACTTCTTGGCTGAATCTTTTTAAATTTTCTGTTTGGCTTGTCATTGTTGAGCTCATAATGAAACATTTGCTCAATTGATTCCCCATGGGCATGTCTGCATTTGGGATAGCAAGTAAATGGCTGACTTTATGGCTCCAAAGAGGTCACAAATGGTGTCCAAATAGGTCCATCGTGTTAGACCATGCAAAAGAGTTCCAGCTTTTTGGAAAACCTGATATTTATGATAATGCCTGTTTCTGTGTAAGTGCAACCTATGTTGCATAGGGAGTGAAGTTTTCTGAGTTTTCTGGCTTGCAATCTGGCTTTATAACTAATAAAGGCACAACTTCCCTCATGACACCTCAGATCTAGTAATTTTAATAGATCTCTCAATTACAGATGTGTACCAACAACTCCACTCAGCAGAGACATAGAATTTGTGAGAAAGGGGCTGGGAAGAACAATAGCTTGGCCTGCTTTTTTTCAGGAGGGGAATGGGGAATTTGCAGAAGAAAAGTCTTAAAAAGGGTGTGTGTTGGCGGGGGGGGGGCACACCTTAAAACATCGGTTTGTTTACCTTTTTGTTTTCTTTTCCCCAGTCCCCATGCACAAACATGCTAGGTAAATCCCCAGTGTCAGGTGCTGATCCTGCTGAGATCTGCCACTGTTGCTGGCACATAGGCTTGTTTACACTGGGCTGTGATTTGCTTCTTAACACCTGTGTGCTCTCTGATAGGAATTTCCCTTGGGAAAGAAGAAATGATGTTTCTGAAGGCGTTGTTGGAAACGGCACTGCTTTAAATCATCAGGTGCTGCCATGCTTTCCTTCTTCCTTGTCTTGACATATATTTCAGTGTGTCTGACCACAGGTTTTCCTCCACATTTTTTTAGCTTGGCAATACTTTAAAAACTGGCAGTGTTAGGGGCTACTGGGTTCTAACCCTTTACAAAAGCTCCAGTCAGCATTTTGGATTCTAAGTAACATTTCAGAACTGTGGGGACAGCTGATGTTGCACCCTGGTTCACATCTGTGTCTCAAGAACTATTTAATAACATCCAACAAACATCTGTTGTTATTAATTTTTGAATGGCTTTCTTAAATATTCAAGATGACTTACAATAGAATTAAAACTAAAAAAATCTGCTATCATTTCCCCAGTAACATTGCATGGGTCTAAAGTTCCCTGTAACCTAGCTAAAGCAACAATTCTATTCAACATCAGACAGAAAAAAGCCTACAGTTCCCAGCATGCCCAAGTGGCTAGGGCATGCTGGGTGTTGGAGGCCTTTCATTCGTTCTTTTCTAAAACAGCATAGGATTGTGCTTTAATTTCCATTTGCATTTCATTCATTTGCTCAAGTCTAGTGTTCCATCTGTGCTACTGTGATCATCAGAAGAAGATCAAGTGGTGAGAGGTATGTCTGTGTACATGCCTTCTCTCCACTAAAGTGAACAAAAATGTCTTTGTGACCAAGGTAGTTCCATGCGAATACTGGAATGTGTGTGCTTACAATAAACTGCCTTGGAGTGAGATCCATGATTTTAAGAAATATACTTTCTACATTTGGGAGAACCTGTTGTGCCAGTGAAGAGGTCGCTTTCACAAGCTCAACATAGTTTATACCAATGATAGTGTCAGATAGGATAATGTCCACTGAATGCAGGGTTTGGCTTTCCTTAGTGTAAAGGCTTTATTTTCCTGGTACTTTTTCTGATGCAGTAGCAATTCCATTAGCCTGTGACTGTGCTTGCCTTGTGCTGCACTCATTTGACAGCTCTGCAAATGTTGAGGTAGGCTGGAAGGTGGCTGCACAACGCTCAAGGTTTATAGCAACAAGCTCACACACTGGCTTTGCTGAGGATTTTGAGGGAGTTTGTAGACTTTGCACCTTTGCTCTTGAAATAATACACTCAACTAGAAGACCTTCTTTCTAACCCCATCTAGGTTGCAACACTTCACTGGCAGCCTCTTCCCAAGCATCCTATACAAAGCGGCCAAGCACTTCCGGGAACATACGTATGGGTGAGCATGAAAGAGTTCAGTGTGCATTCATGCTGTATGGCATTTGTAGACTGATGAGCAGGATTAGGATGATCCAGACGGGCCACAAAAAGGGTTGGAAATAGGCCTACAGAGAGAAAATGGTATTACTGATTAACCAGGGTAATGGTTCTCAATGAGAGACAAGAAAGGTCATTAATAGGGTCTCCAACTGCAGGGAGTCCGTCTGCCAAGCTCTTCAATCAAAGTGTTTTATTACTGCCAGTACCTCTGCTACAGAACAGTAGGAGCTATGCATGGTAGCAGGTCACTGATCATCTAAGACATTGCAGCTGTCATTACAGATCTTCCCTAAATAGCTTTTTTTTTGTTAACAGAACCTCAGTTCAGGGCAACCCTACCTATTATAACTTGTCAGCAAGGGATGACAGGAGGTGGCATTGTGAGAAAAGGTAAAACAAAAAAATGGAATTCTATATCGAGGTGACTTACCTTGCATGGTTTGTGCAATCCATGCAGAGATAAGGCAGGCTGTGAATGCATGCTGCATGGCTTCTCCAGAAAGGTCCACTGGGGCTGATGCCTGCTCTAGACTGAGCCCACCTGCTTGCCCATTCCACCTCCACCACAGTACCCAGCCATGGCATGCAGTTTCCCCATTGCAAATTTGTGTGTGAGCACTACAGTTCACTGGCATTCCAATACTGGTGGGATGGGCATTGAGGTGGCACTTTGCCAGAGGCCTACTGGAATGTAAAGCCTTTATATATTGTATATATAAATATAAATAATATAAAACCAGCTCTAGGCCTAGAGGACTTAGGTATGCTATAAAAAGTATTTCCCCCTGCAAAATCCAGGTGAAATAGTCTTGCTACTAAGTGTAAATAGTTAAGAGAGCTACTGTGGTATAGTGGTTAAGAACATGGGACTGGGACTTGGGTGATCTGGGTTCTAGTCCCCACTTAACCGTGTTGCTAACTGCGTGGCTTTGGGCTAGTCAAACTCTCAGCCCAACCTACCTCACAGGGTTGTTGTGGGGATAAAATTGAGAGCAGGAGTATCACCATGATATAAGCCACTTTGAGTTTGTTATATGAAGATATAAATCTGATAAATAAAAATAAACAACAATAAAATGTTGGCAGGATCTTTATGAATCAGTTCATTCAATGTGACCAGTTCTTTGCATTAAGGAAACAACTCAGATGTATACATATATAAGTGCTCCACTTGTGCTTTCTTGGCATTTGTCTTTGTAGTTTTAATGCTGTAAAAACAGCTGCTCTTTGCACATGTGATTCACTCTCAAGAATGAGAGTTTGGCATGAGTAGACTAAAGTATAAAAGTACAGAGGGTTTGCCCCCAAAAGTTTACAGTATCATGGGAATGGGATGATTTGATAAGCACATACCTGTTCCTGTAAATGTAACCAGTAAAAACTTTGTGTGTGCTTCTGGAATGGTCATTCTGAGTAGCATCCGCGAATGAAAGCACTGTACCATTTAACTGTAATATTTCCATATTGGCAACAAATGTGTATAATACTATTCTTTCCCACCAGAGAAACCAATCCCAGGAATACCCAGGCTTGTTCATGGGTCTGCTTCCTAAGGTGCAAATGGCAGGGCTGGCCAAGATATTTCACCCCAGGCATTCTCTCTCCTGTTTCGTGCACAAAAGCTGTCTGGATTGGCAGTTAAATCGTCCTTCGATGCTGGCAATGGGATGACAGCCTTCATTTCACTTGAAGTCAGCAGGCGAGCTTATAGGGCACAGGGCTGGTCACACGGCACACAGCATTTTTCTGTAAAACTTTGCTGAACCTCCCAGCACCTGCCATCTGAGACGATTGCCTCACTCCACTTAATGGTAAGGGTGGCCATGGCAAACAGCTATATTCTTTGTGGGAGGCTTTTCAGGTAGAAGAACGTGCCCTGCTTTTGTAAGGTTCCCATCAATGAGGAAAGGAGTCATTAACGGGATGATTTTGGGCCAGTAACTCTCTCTCAGCTTGATCTACCACAGTGGTTTATTGTGAGGTAAATTGGGGTGGAAGCGAGAATGATTTTATACACTGTCCTGATTTCTAGGGCAAGATGCAAATAGAAGAGATAAATATATGTCATTTATTACAGTTGCTGGAAAAACCAATTGTCCAAGCATGATAGGATTGTTCCAGTGTATGTTCTTTCACTCCCAGTATGAAAGAACATTAACAGTAAAAAAGTAAAACAGTAAAAAGGCAAAACTGAAGTTACTGTGTGAGCCTGGCTAAAGGTATTTAGGCATGCTGGCAACCTGACTAGTTCAGTCATCCTCACTGTGTACCTTTTAGGATTCAAACATCAGCCACATGACCCGGAAATGTCATTTGGAAGGACTTTGCTTTTTGAAATCAGCACTTCTAAATTTGCTATTTGCTGTACAGCCAAATAAGGAAAAAGAACTGCCTGGCTAGTGATTAAAAGAGCAGGCAATCTTTTGCTGCAGCAATGACTTCTATGGTCATGATGCTGTGGATTATGGTGCTGTTGCTGCATGAAGGCAGCATGGCACATCACTGGAAAGCAAATCCTGTTTTCATTTTTACTGTAAGGAAAGCGCAGGGGCCCGGATACTGACTGGGACACGAGTGTGGAGGGATCCAGATTGGGCTGCTCCTGAGCCTACGCTGGAGTTTAAAAAAAAAAAAGATGTAGCTGCTCAATTCAGACCCAGAAACATGTAAAATGGGGAGGGGTTCTTGGAAAGGGGGGGTATTCTCCCATCTGCCTAATCCCTATTACAGCTGCTCCCCCAAAGCAGCCTGAATATTAATAGCAATGGTAAGTCTGGTGCAGAAGAAAGACTTGCATTCAAAGAATTTGTGGACGATTCCTGCTCCCGGTCTTTTTCCACACACCAATCTGAAGCTTCCTCTCAGCTACAATTCTCCAGCTGTTCCTAGTTCCTTAGGTCTGGTGTTCATCTTGAAGATTTGGACCTCATCAGTGGCACAAGTTCACTGTGGCAAAGGGAAATCATTCAGGGATAGCAGAAAGCTTGTCACCGCTCCAAGAGAACCTCCTCTGCTGCCAACATTCCTGGACAACTTTCCCTTTTACTCAGCTCCGGTTTGAAAAGTACCCTGTGTGGAAGGGACTTCCCTCTCATGACTCACATGCTGGTCATACACAGTGGTGACTCAGCACCGTTGACACCAAGCCAGATGTTCTCACGGGATCTGCAGCATGAGGGAAGGAAAAGGCGAAATCAAGGGCAGGCGGTGTGGGGGAGGAGAGAGGCAAGAGGGAAGCAGGGGGAGAGAAACACAAAGGGTCTCATGGCAAGGGGAAAACTTTCTTCCACAGTTTGCACTACCCACGTTGCTTGCCTGGTTTATCCAGGAAGCTGCCTTTCACCAGGCCAGGCTCTCTCCCCATCTAGCCTAGTGTTACCTGCAGTGACTGGCTGTATCTCACACGCAAGAGGTCTTTTGCTCACTTGCCACCCGATCCCTTCCACAGCAGATAGGAGGTGGGTGAAAAGCCGGTGTTCTTCCACTGACCTTGTGCTTGCATGCAAGCTTTGCCCTTCTGCAGCATGTGTCTTTCTTCAGGGTGGCTGTAGGGCAGAAGTGGGCAGCCTGTCCCACGAGGCCTGCAGAATCGCCAGGCTGCCTCACCCACTTCTCCCACTGCCATCAGCTGTGAGGAAACCGGGAGCTGACTGAGGACTGCTGGGCTGGGAGCGCTGAACCTTTCCCCACAGACTTCTCCTCAAGATTGCTGTTGTCCTGTTGCTATTCACAGTGAGGAAACTGATCTTGAAGGAGACTGCTGCTTTGAGGTATGAGGTTAATGTTCTTTTAGTGTTCTAGATACAGGGGTAGGTCAAAATCCTCATTTCCATCTAGGCCATCTCCCCGCCCACCCCTTCCCAGCCAGTGTCATCACCGTGACTCAGGATGCTGCTTTACCCATCACGGAGAGAAAATTGTTGGTGGTTGCCTAGTAACACTGGATGCTCTCCTCAACATGACACCTGATGCAGGCCTACAGCCCAAGCCAATTTTTCTGTCTTGCGACAGGAATGGCTCTGTATTAGACTGTTTTTCTTCTGAATGGCCGTAGTTTGCATGAAACTATTATATTGGACACATGGAATGACAACTTAGACTACCGATGAAATACAGATTATGTATATGTTGTGGTTAATTCATCAGACATCCATATTCAACCTATACTAACCTATATTCTGGGATGTTATGACATGTGAACCATGTCATTGTGTGATTTCCTCAAATTCCATCATTGTCTTCTCAATTTAAGTAGTAGCTTTTGAGGGCCCCCCCCCTTTTTTTTTTTTGCTCAGACTGCAGCAGGGGATAAAAAAGGTTCAATCCTCTTCCTTACCAGCTGTAATCCCAGGAATAATCAATCTCCACCTGGCAGATGTATTGAACATTATGACTAATTTGAGTGGTAGAGTGGGATACCCCTCCAGGTGAGAAGAATGGGGACTCTGTGTGTCAGAGAGAGAAGGAAACACATTGCTAGTTTCAAAGAGTCAAGGGCAGAAGTCCTATGCAGGCAAAGGCTAGCAATGGGAAGTGGGGGGCATGCACTCAGGTCCCACCCTGATTTCCTCATCTCTGCCTACTTAGTCTCCAGCCTTCCTATGTTGAGGAGGGAGGTCTGTAGGAGGCTTCTACTCACATCTGCTCAATTAATTAATACAATTAATTAAATATAATTAATTATATTTGTACACCACCCATCAGCTGAATGCAAGTCAAAGCTTCTGTGTAATCAGAAATATTGCATTATCAGTGATCCCAAAGCATGCAAATAGAACTGAGGCTGGCCCAAAACATTTTGCTGTCTAAGACACAGAACAAGATGGCATCCTTTATGCTCAATCTAGAAAAGCTGACTAGATTGGCAGATTCATCTGCCTGTAGCACTGAAGCTGGGACAGTCTCCTCACCTGTACCTGAAAGCAGCTGGGTAAGGTAGGAGGCACAGAACAGGTTGTGTGGCACACACATCTCACTTCTACACATTGCTGCTGCCTCCCAGTATTTGCTGCCTGAGGTGAATCCCTCACTCTGTCTAATGGTAGGGCCATCCGTGAGTAAAGCCTGATTCAAACAGTCAAAGGCTGAGAGTTGTGTGCATGCACCTCCACCCCCTCTCTACTTGTGTGCCTGCCTAGGGCTAGAGTAAAGGGGAGGAATGAGCGTGCCTCAGCCTTGTTGAGCGATTACTTCCATTGATCCTGACTACCGACCATGCTGGGAGCGGCTGATGGCCACTGTAGTCCAACCACATCTTGACGACCATAGCCTCCCTTCTAGCCTCCCTTGGGGCTAGAACAGGCATAGGCAAGTTGTGGCCCCTCAGATGTTTTGGCCTTAGTTCTTGGTGAGGGATGATGAGAGTTCCAATTCAATAGCAACAGGGAGGTAGAGTTGCCAGGTGGCTGTGGTTATCCTGAGGACCCAGGGGCTTTCTCTGGGGATCTTCAGTGGGGTAGCAGATCAGAGTACCTCTAGCCAGCTATGTCCAAGATCCCTAAGTCTCAGTGCTCTCTCTTCAGAAAGAAAACCCCATCTAGGTAGTGTGGGCCATGGCACACCTCGTTGTTCAGGAAAGAGGCAATGAAGAGCTATCTCTTCTTATTCTATCCAACACAGAAGCCCAAGGACAAAGCATTTAGAGCGCTGAGCCATCTTTCTTGAGGGAGGTTCCATCCATTCATAAAGCACTCCTTGAAATTCTTGGCACCATAATTGAACCTGGAGATTAAAAATATAAAACAACTCTAAGGATATTTCTGTGATTATGGTGTCAAACCTCTTTATGTTTCAAAGTTCAGACCACAGAAGAAAGTGAGTTTGTTATGTGACACAACAGTAAGCGTCTTAAGATTAAATGTGACACATGCTTTATTTTTATATATCGAACCTTTTTATGGGGAGAGGGAGAGAGAGAGAGAAAGAGCACAACCTATGGTCTCTGGGCAATTGTAGCATTGGTCAGATTTGCCCTTCTGAGGTGGGAGTCAGAGAACCACCATTCTTCCCTTGTCCCCTCACAGAAAGAACTGCTCCACTGCGGTAAGAGTAGGAGTAGCAATATAAGGCTACTCCTTATATTGGCTTCGGCAAGGGGCGGCATAGAAATGTTCTAATAATAATAATAATAATAATAATAATAATAATAATAATAATAGTAATAAAAGCTTAAGGGAAAAACGGGGGAGGGATAGAAAAAAATAGTGGGATCATTTTCCCCCCAGCAGTTCTAAAAATCCCTGGGAGTTTTTTCCCCACCTCCAGTTTTATTCTGGTTTTTCCCTTATTTTGTTCCTGTTTTTTTCCCAGGTCTTCACATCTTTAGGTGGGAAGTGCAGTAGTTAATTCTCATTCCCAGCACCACCACCATAGAAAAAGAACTCCACCCAGCTCTAGTTTGGTCTAGGTTTGGGGCCCAAGCCAAGCTCCTGCTCATACTGGTATGAGCTAGCTGAGTGGGGGAAGTGGTAAACCTTTTCCCACAGAATCCACCCCCTGAATACACCTTTAGATTGCTCTGTCTACCACAGACAGTTAAATTCTTTCTTTTAGAAATGTGTTTCTCCTCTGATTACTTATTTACAATGGGTGAAAAAGTATTTGGGATCACTTTAGACCATTTTATTTCAGACAGTATTTTGCTATTCTGCTGCTTTCTTTCTTTTCACTTTTTGTTTTAATTGTGCTTATTGTGATACTCTGGAATATAATGATGGTATAGAAAGATTCTAAAAAATAAATTAGTATTGTATAGCTTTTACATGATTGAAATTTTAGAATTCAAATAGTTTAAACTACCTTTGAGTTAATGTATAGCAGAGAAAGGTGTGGTATACATCCTAAAAATAATAGACAAAATTTGTTTTGTGTGTGAGAGACAAAAATGCTTTAGTGAGACCATTTGGAGTTTTCTTCATAAAAGCCTCAAAGCATAAATATGGTAAATGTGTAAAAAGCTTTCTTCTAAAGAGAGAGAGTGAGAGACAGCATTTTGTTACTGTGTGTATAATGGTAAGAAGCCAGAGGAGAGGAGAGAATTTCTTTTGAGCTCCTCAGATGTTAGGGCCTGCATGGGAAAAACAAATGGAACTGCAGCCATTTGTACCTGCTGGAATCTATCCCATTAATTTCAAGGCAGCTGTATTGATTTCATGATGGCCAGCAATCCGGTCCATTGACTGAAATGAAGCTATACTGATTTGTTAAGTGAGAATATAGCTCTGCCAGTAGAAACCTGTGAAATGTTGTAGTTGAGTTTACTTCTTTTAAAAAGTCTCTTTCGTGGAACCCTTTCCCCTTTTGCTTTCATTTGCTTACTCCCTCATTCTCCACATTTATACAGACAGACATGTATGCACAAATACACACACTTTCACACTCAATTATGCCAGATGACAACATCAGTTCTTGCATTGGCTGCCTCCATGTATCAATGTTGTGCTGGAGAAGCCCTTTGGATGTCGCTGCTTCTTTCCCCCCTCTGCTAGGTTTTCTCCAACAGCTAATTTGCATTAGCTCCTGGAGATGGCCCAAGACATGGGGACGTCACGTGCACTTCATGAATGGACACAGAAACAGGGATGGAGCCTATAGGGTAGGCTTCCCCAACATGGTACCCTCCAGATATGTTGGACTGCATCTCCCATCATTCTCAGTCAGCCATGGCCACACATCAGAAGGCACCAGATCCCCCAGTGTGGTACCCTCCTGATACGGACTACAAAGTCTATCATTCTCAGCCAGCCGTGGCCATCTGTTAGGAAGGCGCTATTTTGGGGGAAGTCTGCCATAGGAGAAGAAGGTATTTTGGTAGTTTTGTATGGCATTAGGCAGGTGTTTAAGGCAGAAGTTCTATGACCCCTTGGAAAGGGTCCTGGAGCCAACAAGAAAAATTGGCTTTCCCTTTCTGAGGCCAAGAACAGGAACATGACTTTAGATCTTTCCTTTCTTTCTTTCTGCTGCTGTAAAACTTTGCATGGCCCTTTACTTGCGATGTCAGAGGTGGGGAAACAGGATTGGGGGAGTGGGGTGGTGAAGCCCCTGCATATACAATATCCAAAGCTCTCCCAGCCCTTCATTGCACCTCCAATATGGAAGAAAGTTTAGAGCAGCCTGATGGTTGATCTGTTTCTTTTGGTAACTTCTGCTCTGCTGGCATAAACAGAAGTTAGGAAATGCCAGAAAGCTCTGAATGTTCAATGGATAAACTATGCACATGCATAAACTATGGTGCCACCAAAGGCAACTTCTGTAATCAAATGCTGGCAAATCACAGGGCTGAAGAAAAACAAACCCCTGGATCATGTACAAAGCAAAACTAAAATTTCCTATGATTCACTGAATTTATATCCTGCTTTTCTACCTAAAAATGGTGCTCCGCAATGACATAGAAGGATTAAATAATGTTTAAAAAACAGCACGGAACCAATTAAAACCTCTTTTGCAATAGTATAGATTGCTTCATGGCTTAACTAATGCGTTAGATATTGTACAATTCTATGCATGTTTAGACAGAGGTGTAGAACTCTGTGTTCTCTTGCCTGTGTGGGAAATGCATTTTTCTGTCTAAGCATGCATTGCATTGCACAGCAAACATGGACTTCACTGTAGTGAACATTCTGTTTGGCAATCATGTGCCTGCCACTTGCGTCATGCATTCATTGCCTACTTTGATCACTAACTTGTTTAATCTGCACAAGCACTATGTAAGTAGGAATTCCTATGGCCAGTTGATACTGGTTGACCAGCCATAGAAAAATTCAGAACCCCA